ATCCATTCCTAGGCTTCATCATGTCACTACAAGTGGGAAGAAATGAGGCTCCAAAGTTTGCTTCTTTCTCTTTTTCTTTTCCTGCAGTGCTGGGATCCACCCAGGCCCTTGCACATGCTAGGGAAGTACTCTACCACTGACCTACTATCGCTTGGCCTAGAAGTCTAAACTTTTAATGAATACTGCAAGTGAGTTTGCTACAGATAGTGTTCAGGCTGCACTTACAGATACTCACCTACTCACTGATGGTCAGTCACAGTCTGTGCTAAATCCCCATTTATTCCTACCTACAGTCTGTCACCCTTTTCATACCAGATGTGTACCTCTGTGCAGAGATAGTTCCTCCCTTGCTCATCTTAAAAAGAGTGAACTGTACCCATTTCCTTTCCATTGGAAGTAGTTAATAAGTATTTTGCATAGCACCCTTTAATAAACCACAGTATTCTGTCACACAGTGAAGTAATACTTAAGTAAATTTAATTGATACCTACTATTAAAGCAAAACAGAATTATAAAGACAAATAAGCTGAATCCCTCCTCCCAAGCCAGAATTTCAGGATGTCATGGCTCCTGTCTGTCACCGGGTATGAACTCCTTCAATTCATGTATAGAGAAAAAGCTGCATGGTACAAATGAATGGGTACCTTTCCAGAAGTACCATTTCTTAGCCAATTAAATGCCCCGCCAGCACTGGTATTAAAGTGAAGATTTATCTTTCACCATTTTCTTCTAAGCACTTGCTGTATTATTTTCTTCTATCAGATAGTACTGTTTTTCTACTACAAAATGAAAGAATGATTTCTCTTGGCACAAGGCAGGTCTGGAAGGCCTTCCTGTAAACCAGCAGTTATTTTTTTTCCTGGCTATCAGACAATGTTTCATTTAGATACTCTATCTGAGACCTCATCTGAGTGTAGGAAAATGAAACCGCAGATAATCTGCCTGTTGTGGTTGTGAAAGTGTCATGCAGCAATTGCAGAGTGATAGGAGGAAAAAGAGAGACCAGACAAGAACAGCAAATGATTTGCATAAGCATCAACTAAAAGCCAGCATGATGCTAAGTGCCATAGGGAAATATCTCGCCTCATTTTCTTGACAGTCTTGAGCTAGAGGAGCCTTTATAGACTAATATTACAGGGTGATAAAAACTGAGGAGAAAAAAGTAAGCAAATTGCCTAAAGTCATATAACGATCAAAAACCAACCAAGATACAAACCAACCTCTGTCTGATATCAAAACTCTCACAGACGAGTACTAGGGTGAATCCACTGGAAGATGAGTGCTTAGCTCTCAGGAGTGTAATTCTACCATTCCAGCAGCGTGGCAACAACCAGCAAAAACTGCAGCTGATCAAAAGTTGTGGGCCACTGTCCAATTTATTGGAAAGCCTTCTGCAGGCTAAGAAATCTGGCTGTATTCAAGAATTTGATCGCCTTTCCCTCACCAAATCAGCACCTCACAATTCATATGCTCTATATTCTCTCCCTATCGTTCAATCTACTACAACAAGTAATGTCAGTTCTAAAGTTTTTAATCAAACTATTAAAATGATTAAAGAGGACTGTGCAGTTGGCAGAAAAATATCCAAAATCTGTTCAATGCCTCACTTGGTCCTATGGACTCATATATATTCTTTCATGTTATAGAGTGAACAGTAACAAGTTGATTGTGAATGGTTATTGTTATTATGATTAGAGTGACCCAACATTTAGATATTCTTAATTGCTTGGATTCTTGGGTAATTAATGCAACCTTCAAAGAGACAGATCAGGAATCACAATAAATTTTTTTATATCAAATGTGAAAATACAGGCACATGACCCACACTGCCAGAAAGTTTGAAGCAGTTAGCGTAGGTCTCATCAGTGAATATTCCAGGATATTAACTTAATAGGCCCAGAGTTACTTATCACAAGGCTGTAGAGCATGATATTTTGCATAATCAGAATGGTTTATCATCTTTAGTCATCATGTGATTTTTTTATTTATATTTCAATTCACAGAGACATAGGCATATCAATAACAAACAACCAACAATAAATCCAAAATAGCTACAAGGTTGTATAAATATTGCACACTACATCTAGCATATTATGGAGCTCAATAACAAGACAGTTTTCACAAAACACCATATAAATGGTGATATTCACATTATTCACCTGATAAGAAGGTTCTTGAATTTTCTCTTCTTGAAGCATATGCATTTTAGTATTCAAAAGAAAATCATCTTCATTTAGATCTATGAAAAGAGGTAAAGGTTACACACAGGTTTTCAGTAATTATAAGACTCAAGGCTTGGGGTTGTAACTGAGTGGTAATGTATTTTCCTAGCATGCATGACACCCTGTACACAAAAAGCCAAAATAATGACATGTTTTAAGGAGTTTAAGGCTAACTTAATACTCATCATATTTTTATTTACTCTGCTAAGGCATTACATTATCTTGATCATGAATTTTTTTTCATAAACATATATTACTTTTACAAAACAGATCAAAATAAAGTAGCAATTCACTATAATAATCCAAAATGCCCACTGTGGAAGTGTGTTCTTAAGCAAATCAGCAAATCTCACTGTGACTCAGTTTCTCCCTTGGTAATAAAAAGACAGCATCCTCCCTACCAAAGCCCCTTGTAACTCAAAATTCTATGATTCTATGCAGCTATCACTTCATCTGATTCTGTTAAACTAAACTCCCCACCCTGGCATTTTGAGCTTCATTAGCTTGGGTCTTCTCTACATGAATTATTTATGTCAAAATTATTCTGTTCACGCTTTAGTAAAAGCTTTGGAATTTGGTATCTATCCATTTGCTTGCAGCTAAAAGAAGCCTTTTCAAAAGTAACCAATCTCTTTTTAGCCTGTGGAAAAGTGCTTCATTTATTTACATCTGTAGCACACTGTGTGTTCATAGAGGACAAGATGTTAGGGGTCACTTAATCTAAGCCTTTTATTTTACAGATGAGGGCACAAAGACCTACAGAAATCACCTGGCACCAGGGTCCTGACTTTTCCTTTCACCTTTGTTCTTTTATGTGTAACCATTGTTTCAATTTTTCACTCTTTCTTTTTGTCAGTTTCTCTGATGGAAAAAGGACAGGAAAGGCCTATCTTCTCTGCATAGCACAAAGAGGTGCAGAATTGTCTCCAAATCCCCTTTATACTGTGGTCAAAAGATATGCTAAATTCACTGCTCAGTGTCAGAGTTATTTGCACTACAAACTTAGTACTTAAAATCAAAAGAACCATGCTACAAGAATGCAACAAGTCCTTACATTGTATTTTATTTTTTGTAGATTATGTTAGTTATTTTATAATTTTAAAGAAAAGAAAAATAATAAAAACTTTGGTATAAAATTTCAAAACAAGATTGTAGGAGAATAATAATGGTTAGTACATTGAGAATCGATATCTTCAAAGTAGTTGCTCATATTACAAGATATAAGCATGAAAAATTGACCAAGCAATATAGGCATATACTTTCACTTTCATTGAGTTGATAGCAATTAGTAGTATAACTATCTTAACTATCATGTATGTATGTGTATATATATATTTTTTCCTTTTCCCTTCCTTCCTTCTTTTCTCCTTTCCCCCATTCCAATTTCTCATTCCTTTTGAGCATTTACTTCCCATTTCACAATATCTAGTGTATATTTTGAGTCTTATTTACTCTCTCAGCTTCTTTTTTTTTTTTTTTTTTGTTTTGTTTGGGTTTTCTCCGGTACCGGGAACCGAACTCACGACCTTGCGCTTGCCAGGCAGGCGCTTTTGCCGCTGAGCTAAATCCCCAGCCCCTCTCTCAGCTTCTTACACTAGGGAGACAGTGCCTACATTTTAAAATGAGCTAATTTGTGATCTGGTTATTTCAAATAAGATCTTCCATTACAGGGTCAGGATGCTAGCAGGTGAGTTGTTGAAACTTTTACTCTTAATTTCTGTATTTAAGAAGAACAATTTCTTCCCACTCATTTTCCCTTTCTATCACTTCTCATTTTTTATCCATTAACATGAATTTTGAAGAATTCCTTCTAGAGCTTCCTTTCAGAGAATTTCTAGGTGTAGAAAAAATTAAATTGGCTACTATGCTATATGGTGTGGAATCTAGCTGAGAAAATAAGATATGCCCATGTACAACGCATTTATACAACCAGGTAGTAAAATGAGTGACTCAGAAATAGTCCTCCACAATGACATCATTACAACCAAGAGCCCTTGTTGGGCCAGAATGGAAACTTAAAGAATGAATATGATAAGGCAAGGTGGAAGGAAAAGGAAAGAGTATGAGTGCAGCAGCAGTGCTGTGAACACTGTCTTGCAGGGCAGAAAGAGTGAACCATGTTTACATGTAGATGTTGCAATTAGTTGTGCTGAAGGACAATTTTGGACACAGTATAGGAGGTGATGGAGTTGTGTAACCATTAATTGTGGTATGCCAGTGGACCAGATTAACAAACTCCAAGCAGACTAGTGAAGCACAGTACTGGATATGTTTGGGAAGCGTTTCCAGAAATGATTGCCATGTCTGTCAGCAAAGTGAGAGGCAAAGACCCATGCTGATATGGGCTGGCACCATCTAATCGACTTGTAGCCTGGATGGAATGAAAGAGAAAGAAGGGAGAAATCTGCCTGTATCTGAAAAACTGCATCTTTTGCTACCACCATTAGCTGCCCATGGATATCATATTTCAGCTCTTCAACCTTTCAACACAGACTCTGTGTTGGTTTGGGGGTTACTGTGCAAGGGGAAACAGTATAATGCAGGACACATAGTGTATAAAATTGCTAATAATAGTCATCCAAAAATCATATACAAGAGAGTGCAGGAAATCTGTCCACACACTATAGACCAGGAATCCAGCTGAAGGCCTGAATCCTGTGATAATGTCCTGTATGAGTCCAGCTGAATACCTAGAGCCCATAAGAATGCCTCCTACAAGTCCAACTGGAGGCCCAGAGCCCATGACAATATCTCATGCAGGCCTGTTTCACAGATCTGCGCTGGGAAGGC